GGGGGGTTCAGGGAAGGCATGGATGAGACAGGAAAGATAGAACTGTCACAGGAGGGGGGGAGCTGACTCCCTGGGGGGGGGGTAAAGAGAGACGTCCGCTCCTCTGTGATCTGTTTGTTGACATTTAAACTTCAGTTTGTTCTCTCTCTCTCTCTCTCTCTCTCTCTCTCTTGGACTATAAGTCCAATAATAACAACCGTCCAGATGTAGTTGAAGTTCAGAGATTCTGTGATAAATTTCTGTTCCACGTCAACGACTCGTTCAAATCCATTTCCCCACGAATCTCTTACCGTAAATGTTCCCCGACCTTCGCACATGGATGGGTTTTTTTTTTTTTTGTTTTTTTTTCTGTGTGGAATAAGGAACAAAACATGGGACAGGCCACCCCCGCTCCTCACATAAGGAAACAGCGGACTTCCTGGAATCATATTGTTCCAGGGACACGGGGGTCAAAGGTCACGGCAGTCAAACACACATCCTTCCTGTCGCTGCTGAAGGTCGCTGACTCCACAAGTTTCACTTTGAGATCAGAGTCATTTTTAAGAACTCAGTCAAATATAATATATTAATATTTTAATAGGAACATTTTCAAATTACTACTTTTTTGATTTTATAAATTTCCACACATTTTTGTTTAAATATACAATATATAATATTAACAATATTATTATTATTATTATTATTAAACAATTGTAAATATGATATGAAATAATGATTCATTTCATCTAATTCAGTGTCTTATCTATTGTATCTTAACTGTATATATGTGTGTGTGTGTGTGTGTGTGTGTGTGTTTTCTTCATAATATCTTAAAATTAATCATTTCATGTATTTTATTCCTTTTATTTCAGTCCACCAACAGCTGAGGTGAAACGATCCATCCAGACTGAACGTAAGAAGAAGAGTCGACGGAGGATCAAAGTGGTCGTCATGGTCGTCATGGTCTTGTGATTTAAGAAGCTTCACAGAACAATGTTGGTGACATCAGCGCTGATCTTCAACCATCTGTCTAAGCTGCAGCGCCACCACTGGGTGATTGACAGACGGCCTGACGCATCCTGGCGGCGTGACACGCTCTCTGTTCATGTGAGGAACTGTGTCATTTGGCTTCTTCCTCCCTCTCCCTCTGTCAGTGAGCCTCCTCCTCCTCCTCTTCCTCCTCCTCTTCCTCCTCCTCCTCCTCC